TGCAGCCCATTAAAGGATATGATATCCATTTGGTGCATCATGACCAGAATTTTATTTTATTCTCTTTTATCTTTTGCTACCTCCTCCCCTATTACTAAAGGTGAACTGTCTGCATCCTTTTCTGGGACACCCTCCTTTGTGCACCTGAACCCTCTGCCCTGCTCATGGACCCCAGTCAGCTGTGCTCCCTCTTCCTTCTCATTACTGGTGTTCCTTCTCTCCTGGATCATCCGCATCAGCGCACAAACTGCCTGCTATTTCTCCCGCATTAAAAATAAGAGAACAGAACATTCTCACCCGTGTTGACCCCAGTTCCCTGCAGCTCCCACCTCATTGCCCTGCTCCTGTTGAAAGCAAAACTCCTTGAGACAGTTCTCTGGGTTTGCTGTGTCCACTGTCTCTCCGCCCATCCTCTCTCACAGCCTCTGGTCCAGCTTCTGCCTCTGCCCTCCAAGGTGCTGCTCCCCAAGGATCTGCACAAGGTCAAATCCTCCATCCTCATCCTGTGTGGCTGATAAGCAGCATTGCCACTGCTGACCACTTGCTCCTCCATGAGAACTACAATCAGAGTGGAGTTTTCTTTCTTTGAGTGCAGATGCTGCTTTATGAAACTGTTGTCTCCTTTACAGATGCAGATGTTTTGCCAGGAAAAATGTCCATCGTGGTCAAAGTTTGAAAACATTTGAAAATGCTGACATAGAGCTCAGGGATTAAGAGCGTGGACAATGTGAGCTCAGACGGCCCAGGTCTGAGACCCAGTTCTCATTTACTCTGTACCTGGGAGCACATTACCTAGACTTTTTCAGCCTTGGTTCCCTTTTCTGTAAAAGGGGTATAATATCCCTGAGGGCTATAGTAGGGACCAAAAGAGATCATGAAAATGAAACTTCTAGCATACCATAGGTGGCTAATAAATATTCTTGAATTAATGAATGAATCAGCACCCTTAGCACAGTGGCTGTCACATGCTGAGAGCTTAGTAAAAGCAGCTAATGTTGCTGGGATCCAGCGAAGTCCTTGCAGAGCAGCTACCGTGTAGGAGATGCACAGTAAACACCAGGACTTTCCTCCCTAACAACATATGAAGCACTTTATGAATGCTGTCACGTGGGCCTGTGTGGCCCCAAGCCTCACAGAGGGTGAGGGCACTGCTAGGACTGGTGGCCTTCTGTTCCCAAATCTGGGTTCCTCTCAGCTACCCTGTGGTCCCAAGAGACAGGACAGATCCAGCTTTCTCCCAGATACAGAGCTTTTAAAAAAGATGACCCATGACTCTTAAAACTCCTGGAGCAGGTAACCTCCACTCCCCAATTCAGTCTTAGAGAGGTTACTGGGCTGGTCCAGGGCCTCGCAGCAGCACAGAGGAGCAGAGGCCAGGACTGCCTCTGTCCTGCTCTCATGGCTTCAATTGCCTTGGCTCTGCGTCACCCCAGGTGCAAGGACACCCACCTTGAGGCCCAGTCGGCCCTACTGCTCCTTTTCCAGGAGCCTGGGAAATGGGAAGGAAGAGGAAGGTAGATACAGAGCACTGCAGCCTCCTAACCACATCCATTTGGTCCCCCAGTCTCCCCAAAGGGGAGCACTTACCCAGAGGAAGGGCAAAGGCTCCTCCCAGGACTGTCATTGGCTGATGTAGGGCTGCAGGCTTGGTGGGGACCGCACAGCCACATTGAGGAATTAAGCCCAAAGTACTTAGGTTTGACAAGCATCAAACCCTCCAACCACCTACGTTTGTTAAGGGTCCTGTGAGGAACCCCGCAGTCTCTGAGGCAGACCAGGGCAATTCCTTGGACTTCCTGCAGGGTGGCTGCTATAATTCTCCAAGGAGAAAACTGTCCCCTCCACTGCCAGGTTTGACAACTTGACTTGCACTATAGGAATATTCCCCAGAAGGCTCACCTAGGTCTCTTAGAGCCTAAGCTCGTTTAATGGGTGCTCTGGTGGAAGCAGAGAACAGCTGCTTTTTACCCCTGATGTGGCAATCTTTTACTTGGATCCTGGTTTTTGATGAATCTCATCTGGAGATCACCAGGCCCCTCCTCAGACTGTGAATCAGAATTGGGTGGGTGGGACAGGTGGAGTGTTTTTTAAAAGCTCCCCAGGTGGTCCCAAGTGCAACCAGGGCTGAGAACAGCAGATGGATGGACAGGTCAGAGAGCATGCTGGTTATAGGCATGGGCCCTGCTGACCTCCAAATCCCAATTCTGCACTTGCTAGCAAATGACCTTAACTCAGTGGCCTAAAACCTGTGAGCCTCAGTTTCTTCATTTGGAAACTGAGAATGGGAGTCCCTGACTTACCAGGTCATCGTGCTAATGAAGGAAGATAATAGGTCAAATGGTGGGTGAGTACAGGCTTCATGGCAGGGACCTGGCAAAGTCAGCAGATCATCACCAAGACCTCTGATGACCTGTCCTCCAGTTTCCTCTTCTCCAAACTATTTCATCCTGGTTCCTTTTAACTCTTTCTCCCTGGATTGAGGTGCCTGCCTTTAGTCCTAAGGACAGCTCCCAAGTCACACTGTCCTGCCTCTCTGGGGGACTGAGAATGGGCTGGGAGCAATGGGCTGTAAATAAGGGGAGGGGAAGCTCTAGGCCCTCACCTGCTGAACCAAGCCAGCCTTGCTTCCTTCCCTATGGTAGGAACCTCACTTCATGTCTATGCCACCTGAAAGATCAGAACTCCTTTGGTGGTGGCCACTGTGACCCCCCAGATCTTCTTCTGCTCCCTTGCAGAGCTCTGCCATCACTATCTCAGACTGGGGGGATGGGGCTTTCCTCCCCAGGCCCTCATCTGTCTGTCATCGTGGATGATAACAGTTCCTGTCTTCCAGGTGCTGTGGGGCAAAATAAGATAATACAGGTAAAGGGCTGAGAGCAGCGACACCCCCCCCCCACCTCCACAGTGCCCAATACCCATGCGCTGCATGGTAGAACTTGATGGGGACGCGTGGTGGGGCTCTGCGGACCCAGAGGTGGAGTTCCTCAAAGGGGTGGCCTCAGGGGAGGTTCCCAGGAATGAGACGCTTCCATCTCCTGCCCCATTCCTGGGTAGGGGCCCCTCGTAGAAGGGGACAGACAGGGGCAGCACTGGATTGCCAGGCCTGGGTCCCACCCACAACCTGGCCATGTCCTGCCACCTGCTTAGAGATGAGCCCCTGCATGGGAAAGTACACGTGGGGAGGGGCCGTGGAGGCCTCAGGGAAGGGAGTGGCCAGAGGAAGGTGCAGTCACTCTCCTCTCTGGGGTAGAAAGCGGGGCTCACTGTGCTGTTCTTGGCCCAGAGGCAGCCAGTACAGGCCTGCAGGAGACGCTGAGAGGAGGCGAGGAGTCCTCACAGGACAAGGGATGACTTACAAACCCTGGAGCCAGGGGAGAACCTCAGGTTGCAGGGGCGGGGGTAGGGAAGAGACAGCTTGGAAGCTAGGTCCAAAACCCAGCACTAGAGCTCAGGCACCTGGAGTTTCAGGCTAGAAAAGGAGGCCAGACCAAGGGTAGCTTCTCCACAGGAAGGAAGGCCGCTTTTGTCAGAGTGTGGGGTGGCCCGTCTCCAGGACAGTCCCCTACACACCACTCTGTGAGCATCACCAATTTTGTAATCATCCATCCACCTCAGTTCCCTGTAAAATTCTCTACAGTTCTTCCTAGCCGTGTGATCTTGGGCGGGTTACTTAACCTCTCTGAGCCTCTGGCTTTTTGTCTGAAAAATAGGGTTACTAAGACCTGCCTTGCAAGGTTAATGAGAGACAGTGTGGGTGACACCCCTGATGCATGGTGGGCCCAGAGTTGGGCTCAGAAAATGGTGGGTGTTATGGCTTCCCCCACACCATCTTTTCATATCAGTTCTTGCTTGTTTATGCTCTAATTTTTTTGGCCCTGGGCTGACAGGCCTGTGGTGTCTTGATTCAAGGTTCTTATTCCAGAGAACAGAGACAAAAGGGCAGAGTAAGCAGGATGCTTTCTAAACCATCCCAAAATTTGTCCAGGCAGAAGGAAATAAACCAGGGATGGGAGGTGACCCTGAAAGTGACATAATTTGGAAGGGGGGGGTGCCTGACCCAGTAAGAATTTTTTTTTACAAACTCCCCATCAAATGGTATCCATTCCTGGAAAACACAGAAAAAAACATCTAGATGCACAGCTAATTGAGTTGCAGGTGGTGGCTGGAGACAGACCCATTTGACTCTCTCTCTCTCTGTCCCCCAAAGGGGCCCTCAGGTGACAGGGCAGACCAGCTGCCTCTCGCAGGGAAATTAGGAAGAGAGAGGGAAAGAACTGGGGAGGTGGGTGGCGAGAATGAAGAATGAGGCAAAGAAAAATGGCCCACAAAATGCAGAAACGCCCCAGCATGCTTGCTTCCCAAACCCAGACCATGAATCGAGGGGTGACAGGTCTCTCATCTCTGATGCCAAAAGCCAGGAGCTCTGGGCAGCCGCAGGTACTACATCCGCACCTGCCAGCACTTGGAAAGAGGCAATAAAGCATCGTGGCAGGGCCTGGAATGCTAAGTGCCTGCAGCTGGGAAGGGATCACCCTGCAGCGAGAACAGCTTATGGCAAACAGCTGCTGTGCTGTGAGGGCTGCAGCCACTCTTGGGGGCCAGGCCGGAGATGTGGACAGAGGAGGGGCAGGACAGGTACACAATCTAGCCCTGTGCCGGCCAAGACAGGCAGGGATCATCTGGGGAAGCCCAGTGGGCTGGGTGATTTACGAGGCTGGCAGAAAGCTGGGACACTTGAGTCACTATTAAATAAAGGTGGATCATAAAGCACCCCAGCTAAGCTGGCACCTCTGGAAATACACCAGGGCTGCATGTATCTTAGAAGTGTGGGCCACCTCCCCCCAGATGATAATCACGATAATGATGATTATCATTATCACCTTGGAGGGCGGTGCCAGACCCTGTCCTAAGTGCTAACACATATTCATCTCCCTAACCCTCACAACAACCCTAAGAAGGTGGTGGTGGTACCCTCCTTTACAGACCAGGAAAATGGGGCTGGCTGGTTAGCTCAGTTGGTTAGAGTGCTGTGCTGATAACACCGAAGTCTAGGGTTCAATCCCCATACTGGCCAGTCGCCAAAACAAAACATACCAGGAAAATGAGGCAGTGGAGAGAGGTCACAGAACTAAGAGCTAACAGAGGAAGGTTTGAACCCAGAGCTATGCCCTGGCCAGTGCGTCTCACCTGCTACCACACCTGTTAGTCCCCTGAAGGTCTCAGTAACGTGCAGATCCTGACTCAGCAGGGCTGCGGTGGGGCCGGAGACTGTGCACTTCTAACAAGCTCCCAGGAGGTGGTCTGGTCCGAGGACCACAGCTCGAGTGGCGAGGCTCTCGAGTGCTACTCTACATCCTGTGCACGCGCTAGCTGCAGCGGTGGGTCCACACCCCATGCTCTGGCCCCACGAGGCATCTACACGTATGAATTCCTCAGCTAACAGAGAAGGCCCTCACAGGGTGTCAGAATCACGGGGGGTGGGAAGCGGGAATGTGTGCGTGGCGTTGGGAGTGTGAAGTCTTAAAAAATAGCAAGGTCCACACCCCACCTCAGACGAATGCAATCAGAATCCCTAGGCAGGGCCCGGACTGGTATTTTTTAAAAGTCCCCTACGTGATTCAGGTGTGTAGCCTTGGTAGAGTCCTTGAGACAGACAAGAGATGTCTCACTCAAGGTGTCAGATTCATGCCCACACAACTGGAGTTAGGTCAAGGATTTCAAAGGTGCTCTCAGGGAAGGAGTGGTGAGCCACCTCCTGGGCCACTTGAGGGGTATGGCTGGGGTCAGCTAGTGTACTCCCTTGTCCTCCCTGAGGGAACCCTGGAGAAGAGGGGCACAGGCAGGGCAGCTGGCGACACCCATCCTGGCATGCCTTTGGAGACGTCTTCACTTCCCCTATCCACCTGCTTTCAAATGAGGGCAGATAGCAGCCTAGATCACCTGAGGAAACTGAGGCTGCTGACAAGGACTCTGCTTAACCCAACTGTAGCCAGGCTCCTCTAAGCCCTACTCTCCACTAGGCCTTGACTTTACCTCCCACCTCCCCCATCCTGTCTTCAGCCTGCCCAACCCAGTCTTCGCAGCCATTACATCAGTAGGAAGAAGGAAGAGAGGAGGGAATGCCTGTTGCTTGTAAGAACACTTTCTGGAAGTCACACATGTTGATTACGCTTACACTGTGTTGGTCAGACCTCGGTCATGTGACCACGCCACCTGCAAAGGAGGCTGGGAAATATAGTCTTTAACCCTGCTAAGTCAGATTAGCCAGAATCCCCCTCCATTGATAGCGGATCCCCCTGGATATCTGATAGAGTTCCTCTTTGGGAATTTTCTGTAACTCACAGCTGAAATTAATGCTGTTAGATCCATGCCTTCAAAGCCCTGAAGGCATCGACTCTGGATTTCCGGGTGTACCATGCTACACTGCATAGAATCATCATTTGCATTTTCTTTCAGTTAAACAGTACGCTGTCTCAAGGCTGGAACCGTGTCTTATCCATCTGCATTTTCCCCTGCCACATGAGGCATGAGGCCTCACACACAACACAAAGTATGTCTTAGGACTGCATGAAATTCTTTCTACTGTACAACACACAGCTTTCTAAGCCACCTCCATGTTCTCAGCATGCTTCAAACCTCCCTGGAATGGTGCACCCAAGCACAGCCCACCCAGGCTGCTTGCTCTCCACCTGCCTCGCAGAAGAAATGTGCCCTTACCAAGATGTCTGAGTCTTCAGGGTCTTCCCCTGTGGCTGAGCAAGAAGAGTTACGAAGCTTGAACATCCAGTACTCCTTGGCAGTGACAAAGAAGTTCCATGGCAGTAGACTTCCAATGCCCAGGCAGAAGAAGATGATGTAGGCGCCATTGAAGCGGTCCTCAGGCCTCTGTAGGCCAGGAGGAGGGTGGTCCAGCAGCTTCTCAAGCAGTGCCTCCTGGTCAGCTTGGAGAGAGCTGCTTGTGGTTCTGTAGGTGGAGTTCGAACTGTGATGAAAGTCATCCTCTGAGACAATGGCCACTGTGGGAGCAGGGAGGGAAACAGACAGGCAAGGTGAGCAGACACTGAGGCTGGCCACAGCTGGGGTCTCGCCTATCCTACCAAACAACTCTGCCCCCTGAAGAGCGTCACTTTTTAAGGATCAGAGAGAAAGAAAAAATCAGACTTGGAGAAGGACTGGATGTCAGAACTGTAAGTGACCTCAGAGGTGACCCTAACCGTGCAAAGGCAGCACAGGTAGCACACAGTGTGGGACAGGCTACCTGTAAAACACTGCTAACTTGGTCTAAAGGCATTTAACTTTCTATGCAGACATAAAAAAGGGAATTAGGACCCTTGATGGGCAAAGAATAATCTCTAAACTATTTTTGCCTTTGTGTGAAAAAAGTAAGGATCAGGATAGTGTGTAGAATATGCTATTTGTGTGAATAAGTTGCGGGGGAGGAGAGAATATACGCACACGTGTATTTGTATATGCACAGAATATCTTTGGACAGATACATAGGAAATTTCTAACAGCACATGCCTCTGGAAGAGGGAAACTGGGATGGCAGGTGTGGGGATAGGGTGACTTCACTACAAACTCATTTGTACTTTTTGAATTTTGAACTATGTGAATTTATTACGTGCTCAAAAATAAAATTAAAATTATAAATAAAAATAAAGGCATTTTAGGGCCAGACCGTGGCTCACTTGGGGGAGTGTGGTGCTGATAGCACCAAGGCCAAGGGTTCAGATCCCTATGTAGGGATGGCAGGTTGGCTCATCCGGGAGAGCGTTGTGCTGACAACACCAAGTCAAGGGTTACGATCCCCTTACTGGTCACCTTTTAAAAAAATAAATAAATAAAGGCATTCTAATTAAATAATAATTTTTTAAAAACCTGTTGCCTAGAGCTGACTCCAGAAGACAGTGTGTGACCTCTGACAGTCCATTCCCTTGTTTCATTTGTGGGACAACAGAGGTCCCAAGAGCGGAAGGTCGCAGGCGAGGTAAACGGCCAAGCCTGGTTTGCAGCTCCTGCCTGGGTTCCCACCTCTGTTCGTCACATCCCACCAGGAGACACTCCCAATCTGTGGTAGCACCTCAGACAAATGGAAGATTCTGGGCTGCCAGTAACTATTGCCTACATGGTCTTTGGCAAGTCACCATGCATCTGAGCCTCAATTTCCAAATCTGTAAACCTAGGGAAGTCTTTTTTACAAAGGGTATGAACTGCAAGTGGCTGGCAATGCCTGGCTGGTGGTAGTAGCTGTTGTACGAATGTCAGCATCTTCCCCAGCATCCTGGGCTTGTCACCTGGCTGGCTGGCTGCTGAATCTGGCTGAAAGGTAGCATGCCTACTTCTATGCTCTAGATAGCACCTAGGATGTGGCAGCAGCTCGATAAATGGGAAATGTTGCCATAATGCTGAGGATGGGACACTCTGGAGTCCCTTCTGCAGTAGCTACCTCTCTACCCAATAAATCAATGAGTCTTAGCTCATACAGAAGGCTGAGCCTTACTCAGAGCGTCAAGCCAGCAAGAGTGGGGTCCTTCCTCACTGTGGAATGGAAGCACTCCCTCACGTGGGTGAAGAACCCTAACCACTATTTCAGGGGAACCTCATAGCATCCCGTGGAATTAGGCAGAGCAGAAATTATTGCTCCCTTTTGTCAGATGGAAAGACTGAGGCCTTGAAGGTACTTGCTTTATCTCACATTCAAATAGAAAGAATTCCCAATAGCTAAAATTAAGTCCAGTACTCATGCTTGCCAAGGTCTGCGCCTAGCACTGGCGCCTGACAACAGCCTATTAGGTACTACTCTAAGACCCATTTCACATATGAGGGTTCTGAGGTGCAGAAAGGTTGAATAACTTGCCCAAGGTCAAGTTACACAGCCAAGCAGTCAGGGGCCCACGCTGGACTCCCTGGCACCCCTGAGGAGTGCTGGCTAGGAATATGACCCTGTGTCTGCTGGTTCCAAGTTACAGACACCCTTCCTGAAGGCCTTGCCACCAGCGAGCCAAGAGCAGGGACAAAGGCGGCCCTGCAGGGTACCCTCACTAACATCTGCTGATGAATGGACTTTGTATGACCAGGATATTTGCCCCTACGGGAGCAGCACAAGCCCTGGAGTAAGCAGGCAAGAGGCTGCCTGATACCCAAGCCCAGAGCATCTAGTCAGCAAGTCTATTTTAAAGCCCCCTGGTTGAGCAGAGCCCCTCCCTGGCCTTGATTCAGGTGGAGACCAGTATTAACAAACTAACCAAACAGGGCGTGTGCAGTCACACACACTTTTCACATTAGGGTTTAAAATGTGAAAAACAGTTATGACGCATCCAGGACAACAGAGATAGCAAGATGTTCTTCCCAGATGCTCCAGCTATGGGTGCAGGGCCAACAGCTGGGTCACTAGGGACCACACTCAGCCAGGGTCCCTTCTCAGCTCCTGGCGTCTATTTGTTCAGGACCCTTCAGCCTTGACTGAGCTTCCAAAGAAGCCAGGAATTTTTAACTGGGGTCACAGGCCAGGGCACTGGAGTGAGCAAAGTCCTATTACTCTTTATAAAAGCTAACTACTGGCTTTTGGATTAAAAAAGAAAGAAAAAGAAAGGTAAGGAAGAACCCAAGTTTCCCCAAGACAGGCTGGCTGTAGGCCGGCATGGCCCTGCCCCCTCCCGGGGTGACCCAGGGCAAGGAGCAGCCCCCAACAAAGCAGCAGACACTTGTGGGGTCTGGGGCCACCGCAGAACACCATCTGGGCCGGGGAGCCTGGGTGCTGGTCCGACGAGGTTCTGACCTCAGTGCCTCGATTTCCCCATCTGTGAACCAGGTGGGGGGCCACCGAAGCTAGCCGACAAGAGAGCACTGTTGGTAAGGGCGCCCCCAAGAGGCCACGGCGGGATCGCCTTGCCGCTGTGGGCAGCCCAGGCTCAGGCTCCCCAGGGTGGATCGACGGCGTCCGCCGCCTTCTGGATACTTTCAGCCGACCTGTCCGTGCCCGGCCCCCACATCCAGGCCGTGAGCTCAGTCTCGGGGAGGAGGAGAGGCGAGAATCTGGGGGAGAGAAGACAGAGACCCAGAAAGAGGGAGGGGAGCCGGGAAGGAGAGGGGGAGGAAGCTGCGAGAGGCCGGAGCCGGAGAGCTCGGCGGCAGCCAGGCCGAGCCGCACT